GGGGGGGGGGGGGGGACGAGGGTGCTGCAAAGAGAAGTTTGACCACAGAAAGACAATCCTCTGCTTATGCCCGCATCGTGTCTTTGCGGACTGACTGTATAGTTAAGCATGCATGGTTAAAGATCACGAAGAGCCAGCACAATACATGTTTCTCAATTTCGCTACCCTAAGGTGATGGTATACAGAAACCATACTCCTACTACACTTGCCCAGAAGTAACATAATGCTGTAGCGCGTCCCGTTTACGTTTTGGGCACGTCCGGAACGCGGTCCGACTGGAACGCAATTCAAACCGCATTTCGGGAGCGCGCGTCTATTATCTGGTTATTTCTGAGAAGTACATTTTATAGTCATCGATATCTTTGTATATAACTTCATGGTATTTTAATTAATGAACTTACCGGTAACAACTAATTGTGCGCTTGCCCATGCCCAGCCTGAAGGGTTTTGTAATGCGATTTTATACCAGCCATTATCAGCCTTGCCTACGTTGAAGATCTCGAGCGTGCTCGCACCTTCACTGGTACTGATATTAAATCTTCCTTCACTTTTTATTTCCACATCGTCCTTGGTCCATACTACAGAGGGCTGAGGATCACCATGGAATATCGTTGGGAAGGTAACATTGGTTCCTGCTTTAGCAACTGTCCCTTTAGGAGTTTTCGTGAAGCCCGGGGGAGCTAGATAAATAAAGAAACATCAGTATTTCCTTTCCACGGACAGACTGACTTTATTTATGCTGGATGGGTCAATATGATCTACACTGTTCTCTCTAAGTGCCACGATAAGAGGAAACCCAAACTAAACTAACTTTATACTGAATAGCTCTATCAGTTTTAAAGTATTCTCCTTAGAGGTCCAGCAAATATTATCCCTTATTGGTCTTATGTCATTGCACGAGGAAACTTGTGAACTATACTAATCTTATCCTGGATAGCTCTGTCAGCTCTAAACTGTTATCAATTCCAAACTGTTTTCCATAAAGATGCAGTAACGTTCATCCCTTATTTGTCTAGTGTTACTAGAGCAACCACCCGAAGTGTCCGAAGAAAACGTGCGCTGTTTGGTAGAGTCGAACTGAACGAAAGTTCTCTTGACATGCGACTGACGGGAAATTTCAATCAGACAAGTGCATGAAAGAGTCTCAATAATAATTATCCCAAACTTACATGCGAGTTCTTGGTTATCAGCAGTAGTTTCACCGTGCGAACGTGTTTCGTGTGACTGCGTTGACTGCAGTTTAAAACTGGAGTGTTTGCCAGGTTCACCTCGCCATTGCTTGATGGTCTTCTGACTACTTACAGTTTCTTTCTTGTTGGTTTCTGTTATCTCGCCACCTGCATAAAGAAGACATCTTAACATGAACACTTGTACAATAGAGATAGCTATATCAGCTAGTTCAGACACAAATCAAGACAGCTTATTGTCGAATACTACCTACACTAGACCACCACGTTTGAGACATCTTTTTCAAGTAGATTATTATAGAGTACTACCTATACAACATACCCTTATACGTTTGAGATATCTTCTCTTACCCACCTGTAACACCCAATCCAGCAGAAGCCCAGTAACTACCGGCTGAGTTTTGTAAATCAACTCTGTAATTCCCATCATCAGATTTCACCAGGTCAGTAATTTCAAGCTGGGTATAATTTTCCTCGATTAAAATATGAAAGCGTCCTTCGTTCTTAATTTCCACGTTGTTTTTAGACCATTTGATCGATGGCTGAGGGTGGGCGGTAAAGTTGCACGGGAAGCGAGCGGATGATCCGGCTTTGGCCACTACGCCTTTTGGTGCATTCGTGATGTTAGGTGGAGCTGTAAAGAAGAAGAATATTCTGAAGTTAGATTGATGATACTCAAAATACCTCCCTCTGATAGATGGGTTTCATTAAAGGGCATGACTCGAAAACTGACGGTGTTATTTTTTTCTAATGTGAAAGATCATTGAAATTGTAGAGTAACTTCTTTGATAGATTTTTGTTTTCTTGCTTCGTTTTGAAGATATTTCATTTTGTATATGCAAAGGACCAGCTTTCTACGTCACATATGCGTAATGACTTACGCCCGTATTCTAAAAGCTCACTCACACTCACACTCACACTCAATGAGTGGAGGTTCAATCAGCTTCTCTTGAGTGTCAATGCTGTTTTTGAATAGCTGGAGGGTGAGTAATCACATAGTAAGGTATGACACTAACCCTCCAGCTATTCAAAAACAGCATTGACACTCAAGAGAAGCTCAGATTGAACCTCCACTCATTGAGTGTGAGTGAGCTTTTAGAATACGGGCGTTAGCCCTAAAAGCTGCATGTATATCTTTAATACGACTAAACACAATCAATAGAAAACCTACATGGGTGTTATTGTGGACAAATCTCGTGCTCATCATTCATTTTGAGCGAATTTATTTGATGGTGACAAAATTATATAACATTTTAAAGTAAGTCATTATACATATGTGACGTAGAAAGTTGGTCCTTTGCGCATCATACAAAATGAAATATCTCCAAAACGAAGCAAGAAAACAACAGTCTGTCAAAGAAGTTACTCTACAGTTTTCAACGATCTTTCAAATTAGACTAAAAAATAACACCGTCAATTTTCGAGTCATATTCCCTTTTAAGCACTATCGTGTAGCATCTGGTGGTCAACCGATAGTTCTCAGAACGAGAAAATAAAGTCTATTCATTATAGGTAAAGTCTTTTCATTATAGGTAGTAGTCTTGCAATTGATTCACAATAATTTGAGAAAAAGATTTTCTTTCTAAAATAAAACTACCAAGAGACTTACCATTCATATCTAGTATTGCCTCAGCCCAAGCATTGCCATTTGAGTTTGCCAAAGCTATTTGATAAGTTCCTGCATCAGCATATTGGACTTTCTCGATCTCAAGTTCCGTGTAACCTTTCTTAATGACAATCATGAATCGACCTTCATCTTTTATCGTTACCCCATCTCTGCTCCAAGTTACTGTTGGTTCAGGATCTCCTCCAAAATTACATGTGAACACGACTGTCTCGCCTGTTTACTTCGTGTAAATCCTGGGCCTTTGGTGATTACTGGCGGTGCTATAAAATCACAGATAAATTGAAGTTTTGAGGATATAGGCCGTGGGCGCTAAGGCCGGTACTGGTAGTGCATGATGCAGAAAAACAAGATCTAATGAGAAGGATGGAAATACGAATGTTGAGATGGATCCCAATAGGTTTCGCTGAAGGGAAGCAGGTTGAAATGGTATAAACACTTAATAAGAAGAGATGAAGGATAGCCGGTCAGATACATTATGGAATGATGAGATCAGAACAGGATGTGGGGTGGTAGGCATTGCAGAAAAGATGAAGCAAGAAGGCTCAGATGGTGTGGGCACGTAATAAGAAGAGATGAAGGACAGTCAGTCAGAGATATTATGGGAAAAAGTGATCATGTTGGTAGACATTGCAGTGAAGGAAGCAAGGTTGAAATTTATGGATAAGTAATAAGAGATGAAGGAAAGCCGGTCAGAGACATCCGGGAATGAAGAGATTAAGAGATGTAGGGTGGTAGACATCGCAGAGAAGGTAAAGGAAGCAAGTTTAAGATTTATGGATAAGTAATAAGAAGAGATGGAAGAGAGTTTATGGAACTGGAGATAAATGGAAACATAGAATAATGAATAGACTGTTTAAAAGAAGATCAAGGAATTGACGGTCGACACGACAAGGGACAGAAAAGGATGTAAGACAAAAATCCAAGCAGTCTACCCCGGGCCAGTCTACGACTAGTGCTTGGTAAAAATGGATGCAGAACGCATGTGTACTGAAGTATGAATAAACAATACTTCTACCATACTATTTATTGAATGATATTTCAAAACGTCATTACAACCACATTATTCACATAAATTACCTCCTTCTACATTCCCGTCCACTGTCTCAGTGTCAACGTCCATTCTCAGCGTGGATTCCTTAGTCGTCTTACTGGAAGACGAACTATCCTTGGCAGGCTTTTTTGGTTTGGGTGAAACTTTTGGCGCTGTAACAACGACATATTGTTTTTCTACTTCTGTGAATAGTTCTTCGTGACTTGAACCAGCTGGTATTCTTTCTTTAACGGCTGGGGCAAGGTTTCGTTTGTCGTCTTTGCTCTTTGATGGTTTTTGCTCACCTTAATATTGGGAAACATAGTGTCATTACAAGAAACATGTATGCTAAAGGCCTGTGCTACACTGGGATTCCAACCTCTTTGGAATACTTTATAAAAAAAAAGCACTGACTAGTTGATCAACATGACCAAAAGGGATAACTTACTGGACATCTAGGAAAAAAGTTTAGAACTGACAGAGCTGTCTAACAGAGACACAGTTAGTGTTTAGCTACTATTATACCTTGAGCGTCAATTAAATCTTTGATAGCGTTGATCCACGATTCCTTCACTTCGATCGTCTTCCCCTATACAAAAAAGTTCAGTTATTTGTATGCAAATTTTAAGCGCGATCTCCAAACCGTTTTACGTACACTTCATATTCTCCCTCTCACCTCAAACGTATGCAGCACTGACGGATTCTGTGCAGAGTTCCCAACCCAAAGCGACCATTTCTTTGGTTGTCCTGTGATATCTTCAGTCACACCAAGACTCGAGATCTATGACAACGAAACAATAGAAGATTAATAGAAGCCTGGTTGATTTTGGACTTGATGTCCGAACACATGGGCGTTTAGTTTTCAGTGTCTATGCTATCTGTGAGACAGGATGGACTATTACTACTATTATTATTAATTGGCCGATGAGCACAATTTTTGTAATAATTTTCTTTTTTTTTGGGGGGGGGGGAGTTATTCCGGCTCCCCTTTATAAAATAAGGGGAGGCGCCTCCCCCGGTTTCCTGCGCCCTATTATGCAAAATTAAGCAACTATACAAAGGAATGATAAAGTAATACGATCCTAAGTTAATCTGTACCTTCATTGCAAACTTGCAAGTATATCTCTTCCCATCTTCCCGTTTTCGAGCATTGATCAAAACTTTCTCAAACAGAAATATTTCCCTTTCCTTGCCCTTTCCTCGTGGTTTGTCATCCCAGAACAGAACAGTTCCCTAAAAATCAAAAAGAAAACAATCGCTATAACGAGGCGCAAGAAATATATTGAAATTAAAAATGCACGACAACAACAGATCATGAAATTTAAGAGGAATAACGTACTTGTCTGAGTAGTTTTCCAGCCTGTTGCAATGGTATTTCACCCTGGAGTGAGGAGAAGTTTGAAATAAAATATACATTGCATATAGTTAAGCTATATATACTTTGACAACTTTCAACAGACAAATGTATTTATCTTTCTGTATATATGATAGCCTAGCTTTGATAAGCCCTTATAGTTTTTCTAGGTTTTAACAATACCAGCCCAGGTAATTTTACTAGAATTTAAAATTAAAATTTGTAAGTAATTATTTGCTTGGTTGTAGTGGAAACGTTCATAGTGGGGAGGCTTCAATATTTCCATTGCACTACAAATACTTACAGAATACATATCAAGCGATGCTATACGTAGAACACCTTGGGCCTGTTGACTCAGGTTGGATGCAACCTGCAACGCTTCCTATGGGAATGAAAATATGTTTGCAAAGTTACAATAAACACCACCCTTATTTAGACTGGAAAGCTTTATAAGCTCTATGTTCTCTCGAAGGGACATTCCTTATTGGTCCAGTGCTGCTACAAGAACGAGGAAATCAGAGTACCCGAAGAAAACTAGGGTATTTGGCAGATTCAAACTGGAAACACTCTTCTCTCATCGGTGACTGAGGTGAAATTATAATCATACAAAAACGTGTTGCTGGAAGCAGTAATCACTGTGCCGGCAATAACTACATAATCAAGAAATCACAAAAATATATGAATTACCTCGACATCGCGACATTTCAAGTTCGCCCTCGCCGTGTACTTCAACAGCTCCTTTTGAACAAGAACGAATACCATATTTTAACGATAAAAATACAAACTTTATCAAACTAACTGGATCAACTATTCAATTGCTGTATACGTCCCACAGGCAGTGTCTTAATAGTAATCATCCCAGATTAACCAGTCTGGGAACTAATTAACTGACCAATGAAAAAATTGAATGAAATTTGACAGATTTAGCAGTGGACTAAAAAACATGGCACCTTTTTGTCTCTTAGAATATAGTGATGGCCGAATTTTACGTGTTTAATATAGTACTGTATCGTACATAGTACTAAATATAGCTAGAAAACTGGACAATATATATCTGCACTATTTAGTCATGGTATTTACCCATGCAAGGGGATTAGTCACGCGCGAATGAAAATTAAAAGTCGGTAAAAGACAATACGATTGAGAGTAACTAATAAACATCTAAGACTCTTTTATGAAGAAACGGACAATAAGTTTAATAAAAAGTGCAAATGAAAGAGGATTATCTTAATAGTTATATTCATTGAAAAAAGCTAGCCATTAAAGCAAGCTATTATAAGATAAATAATAAGATAAGAGAAAAGCAAGCCATTATAAGATAAATGAAAGACGCAATTTCTTGTTCTTTTTCCATCAAATTTAAAATTAATGGAGAGAAGAAAGAATTATGTTATTCTTGTTTCTGGTAGCCAGGCTAGCAGTGAAGGTTGCGCGTAACATGTATACCTGGAGAGAGTGTTCATATTCTTGTAATCTGTTCATAGGTTTGTTCAGATAGTCTGTGATAAAGAGAGGATCTTCTGTGTCTTCTTGGAATTCCTGGTATTATGAATATATATCAGTATATCGTATCAGTGCGTCATATCAAGGCGCTACTGCAGTGGTGTGTATAAAAAAAAGGTAATCGAACTTCAATATTCGGAAAGACCAGGCTTTTAGCTGTTGAATGACATGTTTTTCATGCCAAGTGGAGAAAAAATCAGCAATTACGAGTCCGATAAAAAATGTTAGTCAGAGTCGCATATTTTCACCTCTGTGCCTAATTAAAACAGTGCATAACAAAAGAAAAGCAATTAATCACGAAATTGTCATAGCTCAGCTAAGATTTATTCCTACTTAATAATAATTATGAATATGTGAGCAGTTTGTTGAAGTGAAATTCATCTACAACTAAAGTTCCTTAACGGTGAAAATATGCGATTCTGACTAACATTTTTATCGGATTCGTATTTGCTCCGTTTTTATCCATTTGGCATGAGGAACATATCATTCAACAGCTAAAAGGCTGATCTTTCCGAATATGAAAAAATTTCGTTCATACGCAGAATAATTCAGATACAATAGCGCGTCGAAGTTCGATTACCTTTTTTTTAATTTTATACACACTGTATATATGGAACCACAATATACAATATAGTGTTATAATGTTATGTTTGTAGGAGAAACCTTAAAAAAGTCGTTGATTTGAGGTTGAGAAAGCAGTGACTCCATGAGGATTCGATCTTGAAGATATTTCGCATAGATTTGCAGTTTCTTTTTCTAAAACAATGAAAAGAAAATGGTGGACATAGTTAACCTAAAGTACACTATACAATATCTGTAGACGTTAATTTTACATTCAAATGTAGACTTACATGTCGTAGGAACGTTTTGGCCAAGTCATTTGGGTCGTTAACACAGGCTTCCAGTTCGTGAAGAAAGGTTCTATTTTACAGATGGAAAATACATATTGTTATATGCCGTATATCCCACATACACACAGGTACAAAGCTCGACTTTCATCGACCAAAGGCTCGTAACATTGTTTGGGAACATTGTTTTATAGCTGTATTTCCCGAAGGTGAGTAAAGGCTATGAAAAATGGTTTCCTACCCATGTTTTCGGAAGCTGAGCAAACCATGAAACAATGTTTCCTAGCCATGTTTCCTGAAGGTGGGCAAACCAAGGAAACTTTGTAAAGTGGAAACTTTGTAAAGTTTCCTAGCCATGTTTCCCGAAGGTGAGTATGAGTAAACCAGTAGGAAACATTGTTTTCTAGTTGTGTTTTCCGGAGACAAAGGTGGGCAAACCATAAAACATTGTTTCCTAGCCACGTTTCTTGAAGGTAGTCAAATCATGAAACATCGGTTTTCTAGGCATGTTTCCCGAAGGTGAGCAAGCCAGGAAACATGGTTTCCTAGCCATGTTTCCCAAAAGTGAGCAAGTCAGGAAACACTGTTTCCTAGCCATGTTTCCCGAAGGTGGACGAACCAGAAAACATTGACTCCTGGCTATGTTGCTCTCAGGGAAGCTAATATAGTTTCCAAGGATGGAAAGATCAAAATTCTGATATGGTCTCGAACAGTATTTCTTAGCGTTCCCAAGGTTTTAGAAGAATCGCAGTTAGACGCTGACCTATATAAACCACTGGATTGAGAGAGTCTAAATGCATCAAACCTGGTATGAAAGGTGTATATATCTTTGATGTTTGAAAAAAGTTCATCTTTTTTGCCAACCAGACTGCGTGGCAGGTCATCGCTTTCCATCTCAACCAGGTGATTCTAAAAAAAACAAAATCATGTGATTTTGAAAAACATGGATTACAATTCATTTTGAAAAACATTGCGCAAATTTTTAATTTCTAGAGAACTCAAAGGGAGCCTGATCGCAGGCTAACTCAAATCTGACTTCATACCTCAATAATAAATCTTAGCAGCTTTACATATTTCCTTTCACCGTCAATAAGATCATTGACAACATTTCTACAAAACGGTTTGGTTGATCAGAATTAAGGAAAAAATAAACGATTAGAATATCAGTGATCAGAATGTTCCAATGTCTTTTCATTGTTTTCGAAATCCCACTGTTCTCCATGCTATCCAGTCACGATTCAGTGACCAAAATGTGCAATTGTCTTTTCATTGTTTTGAAAACCCTACTGTTCTCCAAGCCATCCAGTCATGATCCAGTGACCAGAATGTACCATTGTTTTTTCATTGTTTTGAAAACCCCACTTAATTGTTCTCCATGCCATCCAGTCAGGATCCAAAGAATGAAAATGTGCAATTTGTCTTTTCATTGTTTTGAAAACCCCTCAAGACAAGACAAGACAGGACAGGACAGGACAAGACAAGACAAAGTTAATAATTTCATTTTTTCAGAAATACTTACGTTCTTTGGTTCTTCGCTTCTCTCACGCGGACATGCTCATCTTTTGGAGCACGTTTGAACTCCTCTTCAGAGACTTGCTGCACAAGATACGAAGGTACTACACCTTCACGTTCAGTAGAAAGATTGTCAATGAACCAGTAATCCAAGTCACCATCATCCAGAACTTCTATTTCATCATCAATTGATACTGTCACCTCGTTTTCGTTCGTTGCCTTGTAGTTGGTCAAGATTATGTGGTATGCTAAGGTCTCGTATTCTTCTGTGGTCTACAAATAAGACAAGAGTCACAAGACATTATATTACGTGTATACACACGTAAAAACGCACAAGTTGTAACAAACCTGCAGCAGACTTGTGGCAATGCTGTTCCAACAACTTGTCAACAGGATGTGTTCGCACTGCTTGTTCCCAGCTCGTTAACAAGTTGTCAACTGCGGACAAGCAGTGCGAACACAATATGTTGACTACTTTGTTGGCAGACTTGCTGGATACAGGTACTTTCACGTTGTACAAGATTGTCAAAACTTGTCAACAAGTCACTCACAGAACTTCTTTTCATTCAATTGCTGCAACATATAAGGTCTCGTATTCTTCTGTGGTCTACAAATAAGACAAGAGTCACAAGACATTATATTACGTGTATACACACGTAAAAACGCACAAGTTGTAACAAACCTGCAGCAGACTTGTGGCAATGCTGTTCCAACAACTTGTCAACAGGATGTGTTCGCACTGCTTGTTCCCAGCTTGTTGACAAGTTGTCAACGGCTTGTTGACAACTTGCTACAAGGTTGTTGAGCTCAACAAACTTGTTACAAGTTGTTCCAACAACTTGTTATCGTCCTGCAATTCAACAACTTGATAACAAGTTGTGAGTGACAACCTTGTTGACAAGCCTTTTGCGAACACATCTTGTTGACAAGTTGTGAAATTTGTACACACGCAATAATCTCACATCTAGTAGCAAGTCTGCCAACAAAGTAGTCAACATATTGTGTTCGCACTGCTTGTCCCAGGTTGTCAACAAGTATGGAACAAGCTGTTAACAACTTCTAAAACCTTGTTGATGTTATGCTTGTTGCAATGCCAATAAGTTCTATACAGTCATGATATAACAGTATTATTACAGTCTTGTGTCGTCAACCTTGTAACATTCTTGTTATATCATGACTGTATCAAACTTGTTAGAACAACCTTGTAACAAGTCTGATAATGCCATCAAGCTTGTTACAATTTGTTAAAACAGCTTGTTCCAAACTTGTTACAACTAGGAACAAGCAGTGCGAACACAACTTGTAGACAGCTTCTGAACAGATGGTGGGCAACTGGCAGTTTTTTTCATCATATGAAGTAGTCACTTTTTGGTGAGACGTAATTCAGTTAATTTTCTTGCTTAAACAAATGCGAATATTTCTGAAATTGACGACCATCTTCTGCCCACAACGTTTATCGGAAAAAAAAAGTTGAAGACTTTCTGTATAAGTTAAATTTACATTCCCAAAATAGTATAAGATGTGTTCTCTTACCCCTGATGTTTCAGAAACCTCTTCATCGTCCATTTTTGAGCTGTTTGGAAAAAAAGTAAAATAAATTAGATGAAATAAGTGGAGACTAACAGCTTTACTTGATCGGCCCATTGTTACCAAAGAAGGAAAGTTAAATTAATTCAAACTAACTTTTTAAAATTTAAACAAATTCAAATTCTTGTTAACCTACATACACAAAAATCTCACACAACTTGTCAACAAGATGTGTTCGTAACAGGCATACAGCACGCTTGTCAACAAGTTGTGGCAATATTATTATTTTATCAAGTTGCTACAAGATTGTCACTCACGACTTGTCTACAAATTGTTGAATTGCAAGACGATAACAAGTTGTAACAACTTGTAACAAGTCTGTTGGGCTCAACAACCTTGTAGCAAGCTGTCAACAAGCTGGGAACAAGCAGTGCGAACACATCCTGTTGACAAGTTGTTGGAACAGCAATGGTACAAGTCTGCTGCAGGTTTGTTACAACTTGTGCGTTTTTGCGTGTGTATATCATTGCAAAAAAGTGTTAAATGGAAATACCCCTTCGTTTCTTCTAAAATGGTTTCGAGTACAAAACCAATCTCCACACTGCGTGAAGTTCGTCGAACCAACCACAAGCCACTTGGATTCTGGTCCAGTACTTCAACAATGTCACCCGGAATCAAGAACGTCTTTCCAGTCTCTTTGTCTATACTCTCCGACACGGCCACGTAACGACTGGAGCCCGTAACCTATGTGAACACAAACACTTTAGTTAGTTAATTAAATACTTCATGCAAATATCTCTGCTTGAAATAACTATTAGTCTTTGAAAAACATTGTCAACGTTTGTCAGAGCAAAGTAATGTACGATATACTTTACGCTTAAGTTTTAGATTTTTTCGTGGATTAAAATTTCGAGCAAAACAACATATATATTTAAGACCAAACCATTCAGGACAGGAGCAAAAACAGCAAAATGCAACTATAGGCCTTTCGCCTGCAAATGAGACAATGGCCGGCCCTGCGATTCCGGAGTATAGAGTATTGCTCTGATCACTGATAGCTCATTATACCTGCTGCTGTTCAGGAGTCTCTTGCAAACCTAGAAATATCAAAAACAAAAATTAATTAAGTCTTGTGACGTTGTTAAAGAGGTAATTTAAACCTGTCTGCCTGAGGCTGAAAATAAATTGTGTTGTTAAAAGCAAAATATTTTCACGCGAATTCTAGTACGAAAGTTAAAAGTAAACGTTTCGTATTTCAAAAAAAGAAACCCCGGTGATTTCACTTTCATTTGGGACGTCACACCCACGCGACCCTTGGATGACTTGTCCAGACATGCTCTACGGGTGTAAGCCACTTTAAATACAGTGAATAATAAAACACTTTAACGCTAGATCAGGATTTTCATAACTCCGACGGGTGTCACGAGGTTTACCGCTGGACAGTACTTGAAATATCGATTCCGCTCTCATTCCTCCACTCTAAGCTTGCAAACAAAGTTATTTTTACTCAACCTGCTCTACTTTATAACCTGGTTATTTTCGAAAACGACGTACTATGTCGTAAAACTGATTTAGTTTTTGCCATCTTGAAATCCCGAAGTTATCTTGTTGAAGAATAAAAGTAGTGATACATTATAATTTGGTTACACAGCTCAGTTGTGTTGCTATCTAATCAACACACACTAGTTATTTCTGATGAATTTAAGACTCCCTAGACCGCCCCCCCCCCTCCCCACATGCAGGCAGCCGCTTACTTTATCAACCCAGCCCTGCAGCTAAGTCTACGATAATCGATAGTAATTTACTTCAAAAGCACAGTTACTCAAAAGTGAAACATTTTGAAACGTAGTCTTGCACAATTCAAAAACTTACGCGTATCTTGTAGGACCCTAAGACTAAACGTAGCATTCCAGCATGGCTCGCTTCTCATTAGATTGAGAAATAACAAAACAAAAGTCACAAACAGAAGTGACACCCAAAACTCTTTCCTTACGATACGTTGTCCTGCCTTCTCATGCCAACCCATGACGATTGCAAGCCAACAGTTTGAAGCTGACTACAGTATAACTCGTGAGTCTCGTGCAAACCGGCAACTTGTGCAAACACTGTGTAGGGTTCCCTGGAGTGTTTTATAACCAAAGGCCCATACATGTTGCACAATGAATGTCACAAGGTCTTAGGCAAGTAATGTGTTTAACTTTCGAGTGTGATGAAAAATAGATCTGTAAACATTTTGTTTACATAAAATGGCGTTTATAGACATAATAATTAACATTTAATTTCAAACACTTTTACATTTATTTCCAAAATGTTCAGATTATTTGTGGTTACAAATCATCATTATTAAAATTTGAAAATTTAACAAACCAGGGAAACTTCCACTCTGTACTTTATAATTACTCAAACTTAAAAAATAAGTTGCTAATGTAAACTTGCATGGTGATAACTAAAATTGATTTGCTTGTGGAAGACGCAAGTTTACTTAATTAAATGGCCACAAAAAGTATAAATATTGAAACTTGTAAATCGAGTCACAGATTAATTAAATGACATTTTTGGATTGTTTCAACTTCGATGACATAATTGGGAGGCCAGATATTTGAATTTTCATCAAAGTGCCTCCACAATGTAGAAAATGCCATTTCAGAGATCCAAAAATTCAATTTGGACCACTCCTAGAATTGTGACTCCAACCATTAAGTTCCCACCACCCAATTAAAATCCTGTCGGCGCCACTATTTCGTATGTGGTAAACCACCTGTATACAACGCCATAACCATACATATATTAACTAAGTATACTTAGCTTAACTATGCAAAGACTTAGAGCGTATAAGAAGTGACAGAAGTGATATTAAGCAAAAAACTCAGTGAATTATTAGTTTGGTTTCAGATTTCATTTTAGAAATGACTTTGCTATAGATTCAATCCAGTCCAAATCTCAAGTGTTCACTGAAAGGTTATCACGACCTGGCTACACGAGTGAACACAAGTAAATGCAATTGAAACGAAATTACAACCAGATGAGACAACTGTATATTGCAGGAATCAATGAAACGCTGGTAATCAGTGAATGCCCAACATTGTCTATAGTATAAAATTAATGATAGATATACTGTCTGTCTTCTACAATCTTAAAGTTAAACACGACTTTTAACCTTAGTTCGAAAACACAACGCCTTCTTCTACATACCATTAATTCCAAAAATTCTATCTAAACACAAATTGTCGCAAGACACCATCTGCTTTTCCAATCTCAATAAATAATACTTCATTCAAACTTGGCTTCACTTTGCTGTCATTGTATCCATTTAATTTCAATGTAAAACTACGTTGTACTGTGCTGCTATGTTTTATGAAAATAACAATTTTCTGAAAGACTGTATTAAGTATACATTAACACATAGTATAACAGTATCAAATCTAGGTTAGAATAGGCAAGTGGATTAACTATCCGAACGAACTTTTAAATCTGACTGACTTACACTTACCAAAACCAAACTTAGCCGACACTCGCTAGAACAAATTCTCTTCAAATAGAAGCAGGGTTGTTGTAATTGTACAGTTTGCGACTTTGCGTGCATGACCACCGACGTCGAGATATTCCGTTATCTGCTTTGAAAATCACACAGATATTTTCATCTATTTTTGAAATGCAAGTGATTGCTCCCCTTGGGCTGACCTCACGTCCGCCTGGCGCGTGGCATAATGCGGTAGGCACTTCTCAATCGTTAGAAACAAAAGATTAGCTCATTTAAGGGCTAGCCGGGTAGAATCGCATTACGAAACATTTTTTCCTGACCATAAAAGATCTTTGAATGAACTTTATACTGTTACTTGAATCAAACAAACAAAGCTAATTCAACTTTGAAATGTGATTTTGGATGTTTATGGCAAAGCCGTGATAACATCTTTATTAAACGAATCATTCCTTGACTTTTTTGATTTTTTCCTGTGTTGGTGTTCAATTCCCACCGTGGCCAGGCATATTTTTCAAGCTTGCCAGGTGTGGATATACACTCAGAGTAACATCACAAAAATCATTCCTTATACACAATAGACCTAAGGTGCCTTCCAATTCACTCACATATATAACCTTTGTTACATACTTCCATTCTATGCTTACATTATCAGAACAGTGGTAACTAGGCATGCGAGCTATAACAAAATATGTTCTGCGATTGCGCAGACAACACACGTACCTTGGGCAACATCTGGTGGTGCGCTTTCTGTTATATCTCCAGTCACTTGCTTGATCTCCGTCTCTCTGAAAAAGAAGAAAGAAAACTATTTATTACAAGATACAAATACTTTATATTATGTAAAGCGCGTATCTATGAGTATAGAAAATCTCACAATTCCAGAATACGAAACAATACTTTGAACGAGAGGTTGAAAATGTCCTCCTATGAAGCTCTTTACCACTCATCCCAAAAACCAACCCACAATCTGGCTGCGAGTACTTTCATCCAGTCCCAATGCTCGTCAGTTTATTTAATTAGATGCAAGGACTCGCAGCAAACTTGCGAGTTGGTTTTTGTGATGAGTGGAAAAGGGTTGGTTTTTGGAAAAGGGCCACAACCTCACAAATATGTAAAAACAACGGCATGGACAACAGTGGGATTTTCAAGAAAATGGAAAGACAATGAATCATTTCGATCACTGAATCTTCACTGGATGGCACTGTTGTTAAGCTAAGGGTTATGCAAACTGTAAACGGACCATTGAAGGCGTACTGGTAAATATACTGGACCAACTCCAAACACGCAGGGTGCCTGTAAACCTAACCTCGACTACCTCGAGCTTAACCTTACACCGAAGCAACTTACATTTCAACATCTTGTGCTTTCGTTTCGGTTGTTTTCTGTCTTCCATAACTTTTTGAAACTCCTGTTGTCTTCGATGTTTGTGATGCTTCAGGGCTTTTATCTTGACTTGTTTTCGACCAAGTAAACTGTCCTCTAGATGGTTGTTTTACTGACACTGGTTGACGGCCAGGAGTACTACGACCTGATCAAGGAAAAAAAATATCATTTTAGTCAATCCAAAGTAAAAAATTTTTTGGGAGATTTTTTGCCTCCCCAGCTCAAGAGAAGTTTTCGAAAATCACATATTTAAAGTTCAAAACTGTACATATGAATCGTTCACTAAACGGATCTATTTTTAAGTAGCGACATACCTTGAACGGTTAGCATGGCAACCGTGCTGCTGACGCCATCAAGATTTTTTGCTTCACATTTGTACTCGCCCGAGTCCTCAACTCGACAATCTCGGATGATCAATGTTTGACTGGCGAAATCGCTCTGTACGTCATGGCGTCCTCCACTTCTGATTGGCTGACCATCTTTGTACCACTTTGCAGTGAAGCGACTCTTGCTGACGACACGACATGAAAGACGGGCCGTTGTTCCGGCCGGGGATTGTTTATCTCGTAATGGCACGGTAAACTCCGGCAATCGTTTAGAGTCGGTGGATGAAGTTGGGGTTGTGGTTCTTTTGGTTCGAAGTGAGTGTGAAATTGGCCTGTAATAGATGGTATTGTGATGAATAATTCATGAAGAAAACACAAAATCATGCTGATTTACATAAACTTTAAGTTCAATTTCCTCACCAAAACCATTCAGTTATTTTAAATTGTTGAATGTTCTCATCAAAACGTTTTTCGCCTTCGGTTGGAGTCTCCGATACAACTATGGATACAACACGGTTGCTCATGTTGTGAATAGTACTTACGGTATTATCATAGGCAGCCCAAAAAATATTCTGTTAAGCTCAAAATCAATGGTTGTAAAATATATTTTCAACAGTTAAACGCTTAAAAATGTGTTTAAAAGTATTTCATTATGTACGCAGATTTTCAAGGTGCTAAATCGTCTGACAGCAAGGTCAAAAACACTTTAAATACATTTCTAATCGTGTATATGTTGAATATATATTTTACAATAATTTAATTTGAGGATAACAGTTTATTTTCTTTGCGGCTATGGTATTATAGAAAGAAAAAAAGGCTCATACGAGATGAATTGGAGCAGTTTCATCTCATCCTTACCTTTCCTTGATAGAGCCTTGATCACTCCCACTACGGGTGTCACTTTCATCACTGCTTACATCTCCAGCTTCAGGAAAAAGATTAAAACGATCTTACCAAAAAACTACTCACAAGTCTCAACTAAAAAGCTATAGCAAACTCGTGTGCCTTTCGGAAAGTTATCCATTTTAGTTGCCTTTCACAACTAACTAACAAAAAAACTGCAGTTTGAACTTCGTTCTTCTGCCTTCGTTCAGAACGAATTGGAAAAATTCGTCTTGAATTTCGTTCTGAACGAAGGCAGAAGAATAAAGACAGGATATAGTTGTATGTCTCGCTGGTCAGTATTCATTAACAGGGAGACATGAATCTATAACGGAAAGACACGTTAAACAACCACAAGTAAAGTTTGTTCGTTCACGGCAATCAGGTATATCAATCATGTTTTCGCTTGCTACTCTGGTTTATATAAATGATTAAAATGAACACAAAGCCCAGACGAATTGTAATCAAGACCCAAAGTTTTGACACTTCAGTCTAGTGTCTTCACCAGGGGTGAACTAAAGTTGCAATGTGGCTTCTTATATACCCAAGGGATGACGTCATCTGCCAATAAGATACATGTATTCCTCTGGCAAATAAGCACCGTCATCCCTATTCAAAGCATGATTACTCATATTTATATGCCACGCTTCTGGCCATCATCTTTGGCCATAGTGACTGTTTGTGGTAAGCGCAGACGAGCAAAAATTGTCAACTAGATCATCGTACTACGTTGTCTTGCTTAAACTCTCTAATTTTTCTTAGATAGTATAGAATTACAACAACTTGAAGCTCTGTTTACCTTTGACAATCAACTTAGTAGAGCAAGTGACTTTTCCAAAATCATTTGAAGCAATTGCCTTGTACGTTCCTTCATCTTCGTAAGTGACATCCTGCACAATCAATGTACACACTCCTCCATCATCGGTATACACTGAACATTTATCATTGGAGACAATCTGAAGTTTCTCTTTGTACCATCTCACGTCAGGCTTTGGGTCCCCTACGGCTTTACACTCCATGCGTGCTGAGCACGTGATACAAGCTTCGACAGTTTTGTTTGGAGAGAGTACAAACTTCGGTGGCATTCCATCTCGTTCGGGCTCTGCAGTATCTAAAGAACAATCGGAACAATATACATGAAGTATTTGGTCGCACGTAATATACACGAATTCGAATTATGAAGAAGAACTAGACAGGGCTCGATATAATTAGGAAAAAGATATTGCCTGCCAAACTAGTTTTCTTTCCTGCACTAACACTGGACTAGCAATAAGAAATGGCCTTTACTGGTTCTCGAGAAAGAACAGTTTAGAACTGATAGAACTATCCAGAACTATCCAGTGTAAATAAAGCTGTAGTAATACTGGATCAATAATAGATGGACCTTATATACTTTTTATCTAGGGAGAACAGTATGGAATTGACAAAGCTATCATATACTAATTCTATGCAGTGTAAATAAAGCTAGTTTAGTTTAGTTTAGTTTAGTTTAGTTTAGTTTAGTTTAGTTTAGTTTAGTTTAGTTTAGTTTAGTTTAGTTTAGTTTAGTTTAGGCTTCCTGCAGTCGTAACACTGGATCAATAATAGATGGGCCTCACTTTTTATCTAGGGAGAACAGCATTGAATTGACAAAGCTATCACATACTACCTTCAACTAAAAGCGAAGCGGCACTGTTCGACTGTCCCGCGTCGTTTTTCAACACAACAGTATATTCTCCAACATCATCTGCATTCACTCTCAGAATTGTCAACGCACACAAATCCCCATCATGTTCCATTTTATGCCTAGAGTCCTGTCTTACAGGCTTGCCATCTTTACTCCACTCCACCGTAGTTCTGGTCTTACTCTGATAGCGACAAGCAAACTTGGCTGTACTTCCAGGGCTGACAGTTTTACTTCGCAAAACAAGGGATATTTTAGGAGTTTCTTCAACCTGCTGTGCGGCTCTATCTTCTTCGCTGTCATACAGGAATTCACTAAAGGGTTATTTAAAAGAAGATACATTTTAAAATCCTGATCTCCTTCGGTTTGACCATAGTCTTTCAAAACATGATTTGGAAACTCCGCTAAAGTCTTTGTTCTATCTATTTGTTCGCGTTTATGCAGTTTTGTGCACGGTGCACGGTCAATGAACACATTGTATTTCAGTATAATGAACGAATCATCCAATAGCAACGTTTCAGTTCAGTCATTCAACCATGCTATTTAAATATTAATAAACCTAAAACAAAGGATGTGCACGGTGTAAGGTACGGCTCAACATAAAATCCCAGCTCATTATAACCGCTTTGAAGTTTACTGAGTTTCCAGACCATGTCTCGAAAGACTGGTTTGACTCTATCAAACACCGCAAAATTTCTCCCTGTATTTCGGTTTCCTCCTGTAGTAACACCGTATCAATAAGGGTTGGCTCTGGAAAGAACAGTTTAGAACTGATGGAGTAATCCACTATCCAAAGTTAAAATTAAATACTCGTTAAACAACGAACCTTGATAAAGATTTCGGTGTCAGAGGCTCTGTATCTGATTCCGTTAAAGATCCTTCAAACCCATGAACTGAAAAGGAAAATAAATGTAAACTACATAGAGAACATGAGCAGGCCTTGTCAACAACACAATAAAATTAAAACAGCCAAATATCCTTCACGCCAACTTACCCTCGACAAACAGTTCACAACTACACTGTATCTTTCCTTTCTTATTGCTTGCAACACATTTATATTTCCCTCTGTCTTGAGTCGTAATATCTCTGACCACTAGTGAGCACAAGCCATCATCTTCGTACAGAAATTTGATTCTTCTATTTTCAAAAATTGCCTGGTTATCTTTGTACCACGATACATCTGGTTCAGGGTTACCTGTAAAAGAAGAAAGGAAATCATTGAAAGATTATAATGATCTAGCATTATTTATACTAAATAGTTATATTGGTTCTATACTGTTCTTTCTAGAGGTTTGGTAAGGGTGATCCCTCAGTGTCACTACAGGAAGAAATCTAAACTAAACAGTTTTACTGGACGGCTCTATCAGTTCTAAACTGTTCTTACTGTATAAGTACCAAGAACTGTTCTTCTTGTAACCAATAAGTACATATTTTTCATAAACGTGAGTACCTCCCCACTAAGATCTTACATACCTTTAACGATGATATCTAAGCGAGCAGCACTCCCTTCAACGACTTCTAAATCTTGAAGTTTCTGAACAAACCGAGGTTGAAACTGACCATCACTATCAACCTCATCTGTCGATGGTTCAAAACTTTCCAGTCCGCTCTCAAGCTCAGCCTGCACCTGGCGTTCCACTGTGGCAACCTGTTTTTCCTGAATGACTTGTTTGTGTTTAACACTTTCGTTTGAAGCTGTTGCACCGAAAGATCTTGATTTCCTCGAGTCTAGAAGACAAAAGCATTGATCGACAATTAAAAAGATATTTGACTACACATTTTTTGCTTGTGCTTGGTTTGGTGGGGCAGACCAGGAATTAAGTAACTTTCTATCATTTAAACTGTTCCGACTAGAGGTACAATAAGGCCATCTGTATTGATGGTCCATTGTTATTATAGGAGGAGAGCTAAACTACAATAACTTTATCTACACTGGATAGCTCTATAAAGAGGGACGAGCTTGGGAACGAGGTTGTAGCTCAATCAGTTCTAAACTCTACTCCCTAGAGGGCAATCCTATGCTGGTTAAAATCAAATATAATGAATCACCATACCTGCGATAGTGACATTGAACACTTTAGAAGCAGTTCCACCAGGACTGGTTGCTACACATTTATACAATCCAGCATCCTTTGCGGTGACTCGCGGCACCTCCAGACTATACTCGCCCCCAGTACTCCTGATGTAAAGTCGCGCACCGGTGAGAAGCAATCTTCCATCTTTATACCATTTCACTTTGGGATAAGGTTTGTTTTTCACATTTACCAAAAGTTGAAGTTTCCCTCCTTCCTCGATTTCTATTGGCTCATCGTGGTCACCTGATTCAAACACAGGCACTGTGACGGATGCCTTTGCCTCCAATCTTCCGCTGCACTTGATCTCTCCTACGTCGTTCTTAGCAATACATGTATACCGGCCAGTGTCATTAACCTCACAATTTCTGATCACTAAAGAATAAATCCCATCCTCCACAATGCTAGTCAACATATGCCGACCAGAGCCGGCTATATCTTTGTTGTCCTTACACCATGTTACTGTAGGGGATGAATTTGGGTCAACTTTTACTGTAAACGTTGCTTCCTTGCCTTCAGTAACTTCGATGTTCTTAAGCTTTTCTTCAAACACTGGCTCAGTTAGTACAGACTCCACCACAAGTTCAGCATTAGTAGCTATGCTACCAAAATCATTAAACGCAACACACATGTACATACCACTGTCTTGTGGCTTACTGTCTTTTATAGTCAATACACAATATTGGCCTTCACGTTCGGCTTTTATTCTGCTTCCCAAGTCCAGTTTCTCGTCATCCTTATGCCATTCAACTTTGGGCGATGGTTGACCCTGCAGTTTGCATTCCAATCGAGCTAATCTTCCTTCCTTCGTTTTCACAGGCTGGAGTTCCTCAAGGAACGCTGGAGATTGCCCTTCCGCTTTCCCAGCTGAAAACAAGGAAAATTATGGTCAACAATGATTTAGTTTTGATAATTCTAAGCCTGATTTAACAGGTTTACACTATCAAGGTTTCTGTGACCACAGTAGGAATTTTTCATAGGTAAACTCTAAGTTTTGAAGGATTTGTAAGATATGTTTCAGGGAACTGACTTATTCTTAAATAATGAATCAATTCCCTCGAATTCCTTCCAATTACGTCCGACGTATAAATCGGTTGCCGAACTTGATCGACAATCAATAGATAAATCAAATAATCAATACATAATCAATAATGCCTTGCTCTACAGCTAAACAAAAAAAACCTTGACAAGTTTTGCACAGCCCGCGTACAGCATTCACAATTGCACACTCACCTTTCACAGACACTTGGAAAACTTTATTCACACTGCCGACAATATTTGAAGCGACACATTTGAACGACCCACTATCACTTTGCTTTGCCTTGGCTACAACTAATGAATACTTCCCGGATTTCTGCTCCAACCTAAGACCACCAGTTTGCATGACTGCAAAATTATTTTTAAACCACTTGACACGCGGTTCAGGCTTTCCACTGACAATTACTTCTAACCGTAGTTCCTCGTTTTCTTGTAAAGAAACATCGACATTTTTAGGATCAGAAAACTCGGGCGCTGCTTGTTTTTCTAAAACGGTTACAGTACACGAACAAAACACTTGCCCACGGCTGTTCTTAGCCACACATTTATATCGGCCTGAATCTTGGAGAGTACAGTCTTGAATCTCTAGTGAATATGCATTATTAGCTGTTGGGGTAGTTGCGATTAAAAACCGCCCTTGACTTGTGACAGCATTGCCGTCTTTAGTCCAAATGAGTTCGGGTTCACCTGTGACTCTTAGTTCAAGTTTTATTCTCTCGCCTTCACGGACATCTTTATTTCGTAGTCTTTCTTTCATCTCAGGGGGAGCAATCTCTTTTCTTACTGTAACTACAGTCGCTGTTTCAGCCGTGCCTGCGGGGTTTGTTGCGACACATCTGTATGTGCCCGAGTGTTGGGGTTTCAAGCTCTTTATTTTTAAAGTACACAACCCCGAAACATTGTCAATCTTAATCTGTCTCATATTTTCAGCATGTTCGTCATCTTTAAACCATTCCACGTCGGGAGCAGGTCGGCCACTGACGTCGCACTGGAGTTTAAGAGGATTACCTTCTTCTAAATCATAGCTCTCCTTAAGACCTTTGTTGATCGTAGCTGCATTTTGTCTTCTTTGTTTTTCTAAATAAAACATGGCATGTAAGTATTAGTGGCAAAGTTGTTATGTATTTGTCTCATTGGACTCCTTCCACTGGACTGCAGGTTTTCTTACGGTTCTCCGGTTTCCTTCTGAAGCAACACTGGACCAATAAAAGATCGCCCTTACCGGACCTCCAGGGAGAACAGTTCATTTTATTAATAATTGTTTTACTATAAATGTATGAATTCTAATCTGTTGTGGTCCAGTACGGGCTAGGAAAAAAACAGGAGTATTCGAAGAAAACCTGCAATGTTTGGTAGAGTCAGATTGGAAGCACTCTTCTGTCAAGCATCTGAGGTGAAATTGATATCAGACAAGTGCATAATACATGAATCGACCTCCGGACTGTGACGCCACAATCAAGATGAAAAACATTCCAGATAAATATTCCATAATACTATTCATTCAGTATCTCACCTTTGACCTCAACCTTGAACTCCTTTGAAGCAGTTCCAGCTGAAGTGCTCGCTTCACATCGGTACACTCCGGAATCTGTTCGCTTAAGGTTTCGTACGATCACGTTATATTCGTCATTCACCGGCTGCAGTTTGACGTATGCATCACCTCGTAGTCTGACGTCATTTCTAAACCAGATTACATCCGGTTTGGGGAACGATCTGACCGTTGCTCTCAACCTAGGAAAATTTACATAAATGATAGTAAAGAATTGGTCAAGGGTTGTTGTTGTCGTTGCTGTTATTGCTGCTGTTGTTGTTGTTGTTGTTGTTGCTGTTGTTGTTGTTGTTGTTGTTATTGCTGCTGCTGTTGTTGTCGTTGTTGCTGCTGTCCTTGTTGTTGTTACTGTTGCTGCTGTCCTTGTTGTTGTTGTTACTGTTGCTGCTGCTGTTGTTGCTGTTGCTGCTGTTGTTGCTGTTGTTGCTGCTGCTGCTGCTGCTGTTGCTGCTGCTGCTGCTGTTGTTGTTGTTGTTGTTGTTGTTGTTGTTGTTGTTGTTGTTGTTGTTGTTGTTGTTGTTGTTGCTGTTGTTGTTGCTGTTGTTGTTGTTGTTGTTGTTGCTGTTGTTGTTGCTGTTGTTGTTCTTGTTGAAACCAACTAAATATCAAGGTACAAACCTTAGCTCATCTCCTTCCAAGAGTTCAGGCAGAGGTTCATCTTTCCCGACAAACTGTGGTACTGTAACAGCTCGATCAACGTAAAGGTTAGCAGAACACGAACTCTTGCCAACATCATTTGTAACACGACATGCATAGGTGCCAATATCGCTGGCCTTAACATCGTCGATAATCAACTGATACAAATCATCTAGAAAATAAAACATTGAAACTACTAAATATCTAGTTTGGAATGTATTGGTAAAGGTCCAATGCAGATAATAGACCACTCAATACTAATACATTACCTCCATCCTTAGCTTCCTGTATAGTAAATCTTCCTTTATTTTCAATTTGTCTATCACCTCTATACCATTCAATCTTCGGGCTGTCACTTGCTCGCACGCTAAACACCGCCTCACCCCCCTGGCACACGTCAATATCTTGCATCTTTTCTGCAAAGATCGGGCGGTCACCAATCTCTTCAGGCGCTTTCTTTTCTTCTGCTTGGGCTAGAAAATTGCACACTTGTATTGCTTCAGTGTTATTACAACAGGAAAAGTAAACTAAAGTAACTTTATTTAAAATGGATAGCTGTACTACACACATAAAATCTCACAACTTGACAACAAGATATGTACTTAACAGGTTTGTAGCAAGGTTGTCAACAAGTTGTAACAATGCTGGTATTTTATCAAGTTGCTACAAGGTTGTCACTCACAACTTGTTGACAAATTGATGAATTGCAGGACGATAGCAAGTTGTTGGAACAACTTGTAACAAGTCTGTTAAGCTCAACAACCTTGTAGCAAGTTGTCAACAAGCCCTTCACAATTTTCCAACAAGCTGGGAACAAACAGTGCGAACACATTCTGTTGATAAGTTGTTATTAATATTGAACCATTCCATTTGGGTCCATTGTTCCTACAGCAAGAAACCAGAGTATCCACTGGAAACTTAAGGTTTTTGGTGGAGTCAAGCTCGATGCGTTCCCCTCACATGGTATAATCTGACAACTACATATTGTAAGAATCCAAACCGGTCAGAGAGTTGAAAGGTTTGCCTATCTTCACCAGTCACTTACCATTCACTACCAACTCAAACTCGACACTAGAACTACCAGCAGGACTTGACCCAGTACACTTATACATCCCAGAATCCAACGTTGTCGCACGACTGATTGTCAGTATATACTCATCACCAATCCTCGTAGTTTTCAACCGAGCGTCACATCTTACGTCATCTTTAAACCACGTGATCTTCGGTTCAGGACGACCTTTAACCTTGGTGGTAAACATTACGTCACTGCCTTCATCAACCTCGTACCGGGTTTCTGACACAGGCACAAACTCCGGTGGGATAAAAGTCTCCTTCACACGCAGACTAACAGCACATGAGCTTTCACCAGCACTATTCTTTGCTATACACTTGTAACGACCTGCGTCCTCGAGACTCGTGTCTTTGATGCAAAGTCGGAACACGTCGCCTTCCGATTCCATTCCGATGCGTACGTCATTTACAAGAGGTTTATCATCGTGGTACCAGGCTACTTCCGGTTCACCGCTCACACGGATAGTAAAGACAGTATCGTCTCCTTCGTTGACGTCTGTGTGTTTGGGTCTTTCGATAAACTGTGGTTTGCGGACTGTCTTTTGAAGAGAGAGGGATTTCCTGTCTTTTGCTAGAGAAAAATAAGTCCAGATTCGGTATTGTTCATCTATTAGTCCATTGTTTCTACAGACGAAACCTGCAGTTTGGTAGAGTCAAACTGGAAGCACTCTTCTCTCACATGCGACTACTGAGGTGAAATTAGAAATCAGTGGCGAAGCTAGCCATAGCAACAGGTCATGCTATGCAAATTTTTAATGATTTGCATTATCCAAACATTTAGAAATTAGATACACGTTTATTAGCACGGCATGACCAGTTGCCATGGTAAGTTTCGCCACTAGCAGAAATCAAACCTCTGTCACCAGGTTGTAAGGAACATATACACATTCATCTCAACAATGACACACAACATCAGATTACTTTATGATGGCCCATATTCTAACCGTCATTACACTTCAAAAGCAGTGCTCTAACCCCATATGTCCATAATTTTCAATAATAATATCATGTTTAAACAAGAATTACCTGTGATATTGACTTGGAATTCCTTGCTAACACTTCCAGCCGGACAGCTTGCGACACATTTGTACACACCAGCATCAGACTTCATCATTTTATTCACAGTTAAATAGTAACCATTCCCCTTATTCTCCATCATCACGTGACGATCATTACGTAATTTCAAATCACTCTTATACCACGTGACAGTCATATCCGGTCTACCTCTGATCTCTACATCAATCTTCCCGTCCTGCCCCTCGGTGACATTAAGGGGGCTCTCTGTAGTACTTCCGATAAATTCTGGTAACAAGTGGCCTGACTTCACGTCGATGTAAACAGCACAAGAAATCTCACCAGCATCGTTCGTAGCGATACATTTGTATTCCCCGCTGTCAGCGGGGGTTGAGTCCTTTATAGTTAGCCTATACAAAGTATCACCTTCGATAGCATCTTCAATTATAATTCGTCCACCGTCGTCCAACAGAACATCATCTTTAAACCAATCGATATAAGGCTCATTTATAGCTTCAACTTCCAATGTGATATTGTCACCTTCGTCAACCTAAAACGACAAAATATTTTAGAACGACACACCATCATTGAGACTGGGGTGTAGGTCCATGCGACCAGGGTTCAGTTTTTTTTTGTAGGTACTTGTCTAACTATAATTACACCTCATTCCCATGTGACAAGAGTGCTTCTAGCTCAACTTAACATCGTTACTTGACCTCTAGAATGAACAGTTCAGAACTGACAAATCTATGTGGTACAAAAAGATATATTATCTCATCTTACCCTGCCACCTTTCAGTTCCTTCAAAAACTTTGGTTTCGCGGCAAGACCTTCCATTGGCTCTAAGACCTTTCTTTTACCCGGGGGTATATCCACGGGGATCTTTTTCCGTAGTGCACCATTTGCATCGGCATAATCTTTCCCTTCGTAGGGTGAAGGTTTTGCCCTGACAGTGGGCTGTAATGAGGTATCCTTTGCAAACTTCTTGGTTTTGTGGTCGGGTGAGCTTTGTGGTTCAAACTTTTTCCGTAGTGCGCCATTTTCATCAACATAATCTTTCCCTTCGTAGGGTGAAGGTTTCGCCCTGACAGTGGGCTGTAATGAGGTATCCTTTGCAAACTTCTTGGTTTTGTGGTCGGGTGAGCTTTGTGGCTCAAACTTTTTCCGTAGTGCGCCATTTTCATCAGCATAATCTTTCCCTTCGTAGGGTGAAGGTTTCGCCCTGACTGTTGGCTGTAACGAGGTATCCTTTGCAAACTTCTTGGTTTTGTGGTCGGGTGAGCCTTGTGGTTCAAACTTTGCTCTTTCTGGTGCGGTAGAGAGTGGAGTTACTTTGGAAGGTTTTTCGATAACTTCTTTCGGGCCCTTTCCTAAATCTTTCCCAAATTTCGCCTTAGTTTTTTGGTCAGGAGTCCTCTCTGGTTCAAACGTAGCTTTCCCAGGGGTGGTAGAAAGTGGTTTCACTTTGGATGGTTTCTCGATAACCTCTTTCGGGAGTGGTTTAGAAATCACAAGTTTTGCGGAACATTGCGTTTCACCGTGGTCGTTTTTAATTAGACATGTGTAAGTTCCATGGTCAGACGGCTCGCAGTTTTCAACAGTCAGTCGATAAAGCTGGTCGCCTTCAACGGCATCTTCTATGACAAACCGACCTTCGTCCTCGATTAGGATTCCTTCCTTGTACCAATCTAGTCCAGGCTGGTCCGGAACATGCACCTCAAAGATTGCGTTGTCACCAGGCGTGACTTCGACATCAGACATTTTCTTGTTGAAGACGGGGGCACGAGGTTTCTTGTCCTTCACTGCAGGGGGCTGCTTCTTATCTGGAGCTTAAAATAAAAAAATAATACCACCTGTTCCATAAAAGTGCTCAGTAAAATACACCTATAGACCCATGACATCACAGCGCCGGTGACGATGCATCTGGAGGACAAATTGGCTATCTATGCATAATATAACTTTTGTAAACAAAGCAAATTTTGTAAAACTCTGTAATAATTTTGTATTAAAATGGTTAATTTTTGCGCTGTATGTGGTTGTTGTACCCGAATAGATATTGTTAGGGAGCATCTGGAGGACACTCTAAGGATTTGTGACGTCAGTGCAATGGGTCTATTAATACCTTGTGGGAATTCGAAATTTTGACAAAATATTCGATTAAATATTTTAATAAAATAAATGTATAAAATTTACAGTCGAAATTTTCATCTACAAAATTCTTCAACATCAGTTCAATCCAGTGAGATGCACAAAAATTCTGACATTAACCCATACCTTACCGCGGCATCACCTTAGTATTTACCCTTGCGGCGGTTAGAGCTCGACAACTGGCCTCTGTAGCTCAGTTGGTTAGAGTGCTGCACTGGAATCGCAGGGCCGCAGTTTCGATTCCTGCCAGAGGACTTATAGTTGCATTTTTCGCAACTGGTTAGGTCTAATAAATGTATAAAATTCACACTCGATAATTTCCGCCTACAAAATCCTGCAACAATAATAAAACTCACCTGTAATTGTAACATTTATCTCCTTCGTTCCTGAGCCAGCAGAATTCTTGGCCACAACTTTATACGTCCCGGCATCCTGCGGGGCCATCTGTTTAATATTCAACGTGTACACATCCCCAACTTTCTGCATCTTACATCTGGCATAATTATACAACTGTACATTATCTTTGTACCACGTGACTTTGGGCGCAGGTTTAGCGGTCAGCGGTATTTCAATGAGCATATCCTCGCCTTCATTAATGTTCAAGTTCAAGATCACCTCACCAAACACTGGACCTGCGAGTTTCTCCTTTACTTGCAAACTTGTCGAGCAGAAACATTCCCCGGCCGGGTTTTTGGCCACACACTTGTATCTCCCTGCGTCAGAGAGGTTTACATTATCAATACACAACGCATAGGTACCTTTCTCCGGGTTTAGGCATTCCACCGAGAACCGATCTCCGATCGGTAAAAGTTTCCCATCTTTATACCAAGTCAAAGTAGGCTCCCCACTGATCCGTATAATTAACTGGACTCTATCACTTTCCTTTGCATCCGTATTCTTTAGTTTATCCTCAAACTTCGAAGGAGCGAGCGGTTTCCGAACACTCACGTCAACTACCGATTCTGTCTTCCCGCCTGGTCCAGTTGCTACGCAACGATAGGTGCCTGCGTCATCAGGTCGTGCAGGTTTTATAGTCAAAGTGAATTGATCGCCTTTCTGGTCTATATGAATCCGTGATGTTTTGGTTAAGCGGCGATCGTCTTTATACCACTCAATACTTGATGTATCTTTTGCCGAACATTTTAAAGTAATAGTATAGCCTGGGTTGACCTCGATTGGTTGCAGGTTGGTAGTGAAAACAGGGGCAGTTGTAATACTTTTTTCTGATTTCTTGGTGTCTCTCGGCGTCTCTCCAGCGGGGGTAATGTGCAGATATCCACTAGTGACCCTCTCTTTACCATCTTTGTTTACCACACATTTGTAAAGACCTATAATAAAATATCAATTACATATTAAGATAATTATAAAAAAAATAGTAGAGATTCAGTTAGGGCCATTGGTAAGGGAACCTCAATACAAATAATTTTAGTTGTACTGGATAGCTCTATCCTTCTAAACTGTTCTTCCTAGAGGTCCAGTTAGGACCATCACTTGCTGACCATGTGTTACCACAGAAGGAAACCTAAACTCATATAGTTCCATCAGTTCAGATCTGTTCTCCCAAAGTAAAGGTCCAGGAAGGACATCCTATTTTGGTTTAGTGTTACTATAGCAGAAAACAAGAGTACCTGGACACAGAATAGGAAGTTATACCAGAAGCGTAACTCGAGCAAATATTTGTCCGCGTTTTTACAAGCGATTCGTCATCAATCACGCCATCCTGGCTAGTACAACCGGCACTTTGTACCTAACAAATCCTGATAAAAACTTCCGGCTGTACTAGCCAGGATGGCGTGGCCTGACGTGAGCGAGTTAAAAATTTTCGTGGACGTCAAACAATAAGGGAAACGACTAGAGTTACGCTTCTGGTATAACTTCCTATTCTGTGACCTGGATATAAGTTGCGATGTTTGATAGAGTCAAACTGGAAGCACTCTTCTCAAATACGACTGAGATAAAAGTACAATGATCAGACAACAGACCATTAAAAGAACAAAACACCAGGGGCTGGTTGCGGAGGAAGGCAGTATAGCAATTAATAAAAAGAAACTTCAATTTATAAAAAAATAAAATTTAATCTTGATTGTACAAATCAACGGCCAATTCAAGAAAGGTCGAAAAAATCACCATCCGGTGAATACCGCTATCCAGCCTATCCATAACCACCTCCAGACATCGAGGTACCAGGCACTTGAACCATGCCACCAACCTGTGATACCGGTGAAAGGACATTTCATACCTGAGTCCTTGGGTCCGCAGTTCTCGATGGTCAATGAGTAGAGATTATCATCACTTTCAGGATGCGGATCCTCAATGATGATTCTTCCCGCGTCTTCAAGCAGTTCGTCATCTCGGTACCAGTCTACTTCCAGATCCGCGCCATCTATAAGTACATCGAACGTCGCAACATCACCCTCACCCACTTCGATATCTTTCATTTCTTGCTTGAATGTGACTCTGTCTGAAGGTTGCGGTTGTAATGGAGTCTTTGGAGCTAGATGAAACAACAAAACACCATTTATTATTTATGGTCTACACAGAACAAATGTACAAACTGGTATTGTGGCTTTGCTCGCAAGCACTGAAAAACATTAATGAGCTCTGATTGAAGTAACACTGGATCAAAATGGACACCACTGGACCGTTAGGGAGAACAGTTTAGAACAGATATAGCTAGCTATTTAGTATAAATAAAGTCAGTTAATATTTCTTGGTGCGACTTTCCTGCTTAGCGCCTTTCATCGTAGGTTCGATTCTCACGTTGTCCACTCATGTAAGAAGAGTCAGTTAGCGCTCCGCCGAAAGTCGTGGGTTTTCCCCGGGCGCTCTGGTGGGTTAGGATAAATACAGTTAAGAAAATAATATCACAATTAACAACAGATCACGACACTTTGGTATATAAAAGGGCGTGTGAATTGAACAATAAATTAATTTACGTGGTGTTTCCACAAACAATAGTATTATTACATGTTTTATCGCCATGCAAACCTACAAAGAACTTAACTTAATATCACATTTGTTGTAAAAGATAAAATAGTCATGGCTAAGTGCGTAATTAAAGTAAGCGTAGTACTTGATGTAAACGCATTTTATCGTATCCATATATGAAGTTTCGCTATAGAAATGTTAATCTCTTACCGTCAATAATCAATTCAAATGTCCTGGTCGAACTCCCAGCTTCACTTGTAGCCACACATACGTAGGTACCACTATCCCTTGGTGTCACGTTTTTCACTAGAAGTTCAAAACTATCCCCAAAGGTCTTTGATGTACATCGTGGCTTATCAACCAACTTACTCCCATCCTTAAACCATTCAACATTTGATGGTAATGTTCCTAAGTTAAACTTCACTTGTAGTTGAGCGTCTTCGCCTTCTCTCAGCTCGACGCCTGGTTCCTCTACGTCTTTGCTAAGTTCTGGAACGATTTCTGCCTCCCCCGGTATTTTCCTAGACTCAGTTGATTTTGGTTTAGTTTTCGGTTTAACAGGGGGAGGTGTGTCTTTTGCTCGACCTTTTCTCGCCCACTCAGGAACGTTTTTCTCAGGTTTCCCGTGGAATTTATCTTTTTTATCTTGGACACTTCCGTGAGGTTTCCGTGCGTCCTTCGGTTTCTCTTCGGGTTTCTTCGCTTCAAGTTCTGATGTATCTATTTTGAAGACAAATTCCACTTCTTTACTCGGTTTAACAGGTTTGTCGCTCTCATCTCTCGTCAGTTTTGATACCTCGGGTGTTTGAATACCGGGTTTTTCGACCTCTGGCTTTTTCCCCTTCTCAGACTTCTTCGGCTTTACGTCAGGTTGATGTTTCGGTTTAACCTCGGACGGTTTCGGTTTTACTTCGGTTTGCTTCGGTTTTAGTTCGGCTTCATGCTTGGGTTTAAGTTGTATTATTGGGACACCTTGGTCGGGTCCTAACAAAACCTGGACATTTTGTCCGATTTCCACTCCAATTGGTTTAGGAATGTCTTCAACTGGTTCAGCTTGATCTCGTTCCGGTTTTTTGGCTACCACATCCTGTCTGTCCGGTTTATTTTTATCGGAAGTAGTTTTTGAGGGCATGGTTGATTTTTCGCGGGGCTTTTTAGCTGAAGGTGTTTCATCCTTTGCGGGTTTCTTAGGTCGCCTTGCCCACACAGGTAAGCCATCGTCACGCTTCGTTGTGTACGCGAGTTTCCCAATGTCATCTTCAGTGCTGTCAGGCGCGGGCTTTTTCGGTTTCGTTTTGACTGCCGGAGGTGCTGAAAGTGGTTTATCCTTTGCAGGTCGTACTTCTTCCTCAAGTTGTGTTATGATGTCATCGGATTCAGACTCGGGAGCAAGGAATTGCTCACTGGATTCCTCTTGAGGAATAATAATTTCTTCAGCAGGCAAAGTCATTGTCATTGTCCCTCCGTCAATACGCAATTCCACCGGTTTCCCAGTTGTCTTGGGAGCAACCTTAGTAGCGGTATCTTTAGGATGTTTTTCAACAGGGCGAGTACTATCAGTAGGCTGTTGGTATTTCGTAGGCTTAGCATCTTTCTCTTTGGGCTGTTGTGTTTTATCTCTCGTTGTTTTGGCAGCAACTTTAGGAACAGTATCTTTAGGTTGTTTTTTATCAATGGGCTGTTCCTTTTTGTCTTTCTTGGGCTTAACAGCTTCAACTTTCTCTGTGGGCTGTTGTGTCTTATCTTTCGTTGGTTTCTTCATGGTTTGTGGTGCTGTTGTTTTCTGATTGGGTCTTTCCTCGGGTGATGTCATTATCAGAGAGCCGTCATCTATGATCAAACTTACTGGCTTTCCAACAGTTTCAAATGGTTTTGGTTGCTCAGGTTTGTCAAGTCCATGCGGTTTCTGGACCTTTGGTTTCTTGCTCTTCTGTTCTGGACGAGTTTCGGGGGAAGCAAGAGAAAGTGACTCACTATCGATGCTAAAGATCATTTCTTTTTCCAATGGTTTCGAGTGTTCTTTCCCTGGCTGTTTCTTTTCTGGCACTTTAGATTTCTGGCTTTTAGGTTTCTTGGTTTGTTGTCCAGGACGAGCTTCAGGGGATGCCGGTACCAGTGATTCGCTATCGATTGTGAAGCTTATTTCTTTTCCAACTGGTTCAAATTCTTTGGGTTTTTCTTTTCTAGGCTTTGACTTTTCGACAACTTCAGGTTTCTGGCCTTTTGGTTTCTTGCTTTCTCGTTCTGACAGATTATCTGGGGAAGTCTTTAAACCAGCCTCGCTATCAATTGTGAAGCTTATTTCTTTTCCAAGAGGTTCAAACGGTTTCTCTTTTCCAGGCTTTGTCTTTTCAGCAACTTGAGGCTTCTTTCCTTTTGGTTTTTCCGGAATTTGTTGTTGTTGTTGTGGTAGATTATCCGGGGAGGCCATCAACACAGAATCCCCATCAATGGCGAAGCTTATTTCTTTTTCAACTGGTTTGGATTCTTCTTTCCCTGGTTTTGTCTTTCCAGCAACTTGCGGTTTCTTGCCTTTTGGTTTTCCAATTTCCTGTTCTGGAAGAATTTCAGGAGCAGTTATTAACCCCGATTCACTGTCAATTGTAAAGCTAATTTCTTTCCCTGGTTCACGCTGTGATTTATCAGGTTTTAGAGTACTTGGCTTCTTTGGTGTTTTGTCCTCAGGAAATTTTTTAGGCGTAACTTTGGGTGCTTTCTGTGGAGGTGTACGTTTTTCTTTCGGGCTGGTTGGTTTCTGTTCAGGGGTGGTGGTTTTCTCGTCAGAAATAGTAGGTTGCTCTGCAGTCCTGGGTTGCTTTCCTGGCATGGTAGTATGGTCTTCTGGCAAAGTTACTACCATAGAATCACCATCAACAGTCAAACTGATTGTTTTACCATCATCAAACGTTGGCTGAGTGTTCACTTCTTGTAAACGTTGTGGTTTAATGATTTCACTTGGTTTTTCTGGAGTAACTTCTTTATCTGTTTGTTCGCCAGGCTTTCCAGAAGTAACTTTGAGTGATGCAGTACATGTTACTGTACCAGCTTTATTGGTTGCAACACATTTATACATTCCTGAATCTTGTACACTTGCTTCTTCTAAAGCTAAAGTGAACGTCTCTCCATCTTCTTCATCAACAATCACAACATGGCCGGCATCTTCTAACAGTTCATCTCCTTTGTACCAGTCTACTTTTACATCTCCTTTCACACGAACACGGAAACATCCATCTTCACCTGCCTGGATCTAAAAGATTACGATTTTTAACTTAATAGCTTGAATAATGCACACTAGGCAACTTATCAAAGCGATATTAAATCAACTACACTGTGCCGTAAAATGTGTTAATAATAAACCAGAATCCTGGTAGAGGTTCAATTAATATTAATATAAGTATTGGTGAAATTAATCTACACTGAATATACTGGATATCACTATTGGTACTTCTATTTAAACTCCCCAAATCCCAGAAGGTCATCTATTTAATTATTGATGCAGTGCTACCATGGTGGGAAACCTAAATTAAACTGACTTTATTTCCACAGTTAACGCCCTTATTCTAAAAGCTTACTAACACTCAATGAGTGGAAATTCAATCTGAGATTCTCTCGAGTGTCATTGCTGTTTTTGAATAGCTGGAGGGTTAGTGTCGTACCTTACTATGCGACTATTCACCCTTCAGCTGTTCAAAAACAGCATTGACACTCAAGAGAAACATTACTACGGAATGAAACCGGTGTACCCGGTGAAGACCTGCTTTATTTGGTGGAGTCAAACTGGAAGCACATTTCTCACATGCGACTGAGGCGAAAATATAACCTGACAACTGCTGAACTGCATATTGCAGGAATGAAACACTTGTCACAAAGTTAAAAGGCACTGTACTACCAACATCAGAACAAAAGACAGTATAATTAGCTTAGCTACCTTGACATCCGTCATTGGTTCAATCAATTCGGGCTTGTTCACGGACTCTTCAACCAACAACTCAGCAGTACTCGAGGCAGTTCCCAGAGGATTTCGAGCTAGCATTTTATACTCAGCCTCATCACCTAGCGAAACATTCTTGATTATCAAAGTGTGGCAGCCATCTTGGTTTTCAAATTTCACCGTATCGCTTCCTTCCACGAGCTGGTCGTCTTTATACCATTCAATCTCCGGCACGGGTTTCCCAAGGACACGGCATGTAAATTTGGCTTCGTCTCCTTCCCTTACTTCAGTTGATGCGATTTTCTGAACAATTTCAGGCGCTGTGCCTTCTTGGGATAAACCTAAAAATACATGAGTAGAAATGTAACCAAAATAATCCAAATATAACAACAGACATGTTTCGATAAATCAAGTACAAGTCTCACATCTTTTCAACAGGATGTGTTCGTAACAGGCTAATAGCAAGTTTGTCAACATCTTGTAACAATTCTGCCATTTTATCACCTTGCGGTTGCCATAGAATATTTTAATAAAACACAAAACAATAGACACTCCGATGTGGAGGATATACACTCAGAGTAACATCACAAGCATCTTATTCACCTGAGTACATTACACCAACACAGCAAATTTCGGAGTGTCTATTGTTTTGTGTTTTATTTTGTCAACTTGCTTGGCATTTTATCAACTTGTTATGTACAACTTGTGAAATTGCAGGCCATGGCAAGTTGTTGGAACAAATTATAACAAGTCTGTTGAAGTCAATAACATTGTAACATATTGCCAACAAGCCCGTTGACAACTTGTCAACAACCTGGAAACAAGTGGTACAAACAAAGTTGTTGAAACAGCATTCGTGCAAGTCTGCTGCAGGTTTGTTACAAGTTGTGCGTTTTTAAGTGTATGGATAGCTTGAATAGAAATGATCGGCTAGCTATTTGTCGGAGTACAGCTACGAATTTAGATTTTCCACGATGAAGATACCGGTTGTTTCCGAAAGGTTGGAATGTGAATGTAATTTGTATGGGGATTACATTGATCTATTTATTGAGGCGGTTGCTATTCGCACTACGACAAACATCCAAACAGCGTACCTTCAAGATTCACTTGGAATTTCCTTGTTGCCTTCCCTAATTTCGACGTTGCTTCACATTTATAAACACCTCGATCATCCAACGTTACATTCCGAATACCCAACGAAAATTCACGACCGTTCTCCGAGATATCAAAATGAGTGTTACTCTGCAGTGGTCGTTCATTTTTAAACCACGTAACTTTTGGAAACGGCTTTCCTTTGACAGTGGCATCAAATTTCAAATCTTCGCCTTTTTTAACAACGTACGGTTCATCCTGACCTTCGTTCGTAAACTCAGGAGGGTATTCTTTATCACTGACAAACAACCTCGCAACGGACTCGGATTTTCCCGCCTCATTCTCGGCTACACATCGGTACTCGCCTTCATCTTCGGGTAAAACATCTTCGATGGCAAAGGTAAATATTTGGTCTTCAAGTTGATCCACGATGACGTAACGACCTTCATCCTCCAATTTGATTCCGTCTTTGTACCAGCTCACTTCCGGCTCTCCTTCGACTTGGACAGATAGCTGAACATCTTCTCCTAAACAAAAGCATTTCATATATGGATTTATATAAGTATGCGTAGAAAACTACACGTAGTAATGACTGTCGTACAGCAGAAGATGGTCAACCAGCAGTTTATATTAGAGTTAATTGTTTTCATTTTTTAACAAGGTTGACGAAGCCAACAAGTTGTTCCAACAAGACTGATATCGTCTGCACGTAACAAGTCGTCAATAAGCTCGTAGCAACTTGTTACGAACAGCCTATATTAGCCTTGTTGGAACAATTTGTAACAAAGTCTGTTACCGTCATCAACCTTGTAACAAAGTGATAACAAACTGTTCCAGACTTGTCACAACAATTGGAACCAAGCAGTGCGAACACATCCTGATATCGGCTTGACAACAACCTTGTTGCAGACTTGTATCAACTTGCGCGTTTTACGTATGTAGTTAATGGTAAATGCATAGAATTAAGATAGGTGGTTTCACTTTCTTGCTCCAATACAGTAAATGACAACATATCTAAAGTCAACCACAATTTGCTGCCCTGTAACACTTCTTAAAACTCACCAATAAGCATTATGGTACTCTATTCTACTTGTTTCCTTTGCGCTATGAATGATGCTCATGGATTGTTAGTGAGTTTGAGAAATTTAAAATCAAGCATTATACCTTCATCCACTTCGATATCTTCCAATTTCTTCACAAACTTGGGCGGCTCGACAACAACAAGTTCACACTCGACAGCGACGACACCACAGGGATTGAGCAAGCGACACTTATACCATCCTTCGTCGTCAACTTCAGTCTTTGAGAAACACAGTCTAGCAACACCTTCAGTATGTCTCACCGTAATTCTATCATTCACTTCAAGCGGTCCGCCATCTTTGATCCACTGCACTTTTGGTTCTGGTGTTCCGAAGAATTGACATTCAAGTTCCAGCGGTTTGCCTGCTATAATTTGGCAATCTTTAAGGCCGTGAAGGATCGTGGGAGAACATCGTTCCGAGAGAGTGTCTGTAAAGTTCAGAACAATGAAAGCTTAATATTTCGTACACCAGTTAACTTAAAGAGCACATATTAGCGAGCATAAGAAAGCGACTTTTTTGTCAAAAATTGGAAAAAAAAGTTTGAAAACACTCGAAAAGTTTTTATTCCTGCTATCGACTCATTTTTTATCTAGACAAGAAAGACGAAATCCATCATTATAGCTCAAAAGAGCATCCTAAATCAGTAAAATTGCAAAGTTTGGTTGCGAAATGTTGTAAAATACGAAAAATATAGCCCTGTGAAATTAGCAAATTTTGAGTATTTTAGTATTACGCGCGGGAAAATGCACCACTCTTGAGCCGAAAGTTTTGCAACCAAATTTGGCAATTTTACTAATTTAAGGATGCTCTTTTGAGCAATAATGATAGATTTCGTCCTTCTTGTCTGGATCAAAATTTAGTCTATACAGGGTTCGTACACCTTTTCCCATTTAGAATTCCATGACTTTTCCATGACTTCCCATGACCATTTTTTTCAAAATCCATGACCTGGAAGTCTGGAATTTCTGAAATTCGTTAATATTTTAACGATAACAGATATAACAAAAGAACAAAATTCACTTTGCTCTTGCAAAAATCCGTTATATAACAACAATCAATTCATATTATTATGACTGGTAAATTGAAATACAGTACGGTAAGTAAAATACTTTGTTAATGTTATGTAAAATTTCAATTTTCCATGACTTTCCATGACTAAAATTGATTTTCCAGGATTTCCAAGCCTGGATTTTGGAACATTGAAATTCCATGACTTTCCAGGTTTTCCAGGACCCGTACGAACCCTGTCTATAGCTGGAATCAGTCATCCATCTCGGTGGTATTTTGCATCATAGCGCTAGTGCAAGTTGGAAAAGCGTATGTACTACCTCCGAATGATTCGACCATGCTTAACTTAAAAAACATGGAGTCCAGTGACAATCTACCATATGCTATTGTGGTGTGATGCCTGAAATACCTGAATAAGACCATGGATAATAAAATAAATGGATAGGACTCTAGCTGACGTAAGCAAAGACAACCTAGTTGCAATCTGTGACGTCACGCGTATTGCAAAGTTCTCGGCATTTTTGTTGTTTCGCTATACTTTCCGCTTTAAAAGAGTAATATTGAAGCATATACTGGTCTAATTGTTTTAAAAACATGCCTAAGCCACGACAAAGTATTCAAGGTAAATGTTTTTCGTCTTTGTTTTGTATTTTTTTACATTTGTAGCTACGAAATTGGCGTCACAAATTTTAACGAAATTTGGGATGCCTTTTTCACTCTTTAGTGCTTGAAATATTTGCTAAAATTGACTGGGAATACTTAGAGATTTCATCGTAGAATGGAGTAGTTATATTCATTAGCTCTTTGACTAAAATATTTAACAGTATTATTGCTAAACATGCCGTTTTTAGAATTTGGTTTGCAACAAGGTTTCAACATCCAATCACGCCATCAGCCCATTGAAAACATTAGATCACGTCAGCTAGTTTCCTATCCATTTATTTTATTATCCATGATAAGACTGAGAATATTTACGTAGCCCTACCTTCAACATCCAACTTAAACGTCCTTTCATCCATTCCCTCCTCGTTACTTGCAACACACTTGTAAATACCGCTGTCCTCGATGGTCATATTCTGCAGTCTCAACTCATGTTTCCCGCCATTTTGCGTGATATGAATATTCCCGCCATCTGACATCTTATCATCATCTTTGAACCATTCGACCTCGGGCTTTGGTTGACCATGCACGTTCAGATTGAAAGCTACCGTATCACCTTCGCTTACATCGTATATTATATCTTGCTGTGGCTCTTCAAAGTAAGGGGGAGAAACCTCCTGGGGTGAAACTTCGGAGGGTCGAGTGTCCGAGGGGGACATCGCCTGGGGTACATTTTCCGATAACGTAGGTTGGAGAGACGAATCCCCGGTGGTTGATGGGGGTATTGTTTCTCCGCTTGGCCCAGTCACTATCAATGTTGCAGTACATGTTATGGTACCAGCTTTATTGGTTGCAACACATTTATACACTCCCGAGTCTTGTCCACTCGCTTCTTCTAAAGCTAAAGTGAACGTTTCTCCATCATCTTCATCAACAATTACAACATGGCCGGCATCGTCCAACAGTTCATCTCCTTTGTACCAGTCTACTTTTACATCTCCTTTCACACGAACACGGAAACATCCATCTTCACCCGACTGGATCTAAGAAGAGAAATTATTTGAAACTAAATATGTTAATTCTGACTAGATTGAGTCCTAAAATATCCTAAATAACCTAAAATTTAAGTTAAACAATTTTATACTATAGATAGCTCTACAGTATTAAACTCTTCTCCCCGTAACATAGAAATCCACGAAGGGCCATTCCTTATCGTTCTAGTGTTACAACAGGAAGCAGTTAACATAGAGCAAAAGAACTCCTCACAGTGCAATTGAGGTACAAACTATAATCAGAATCCCAGTTGCAATGATTGATAGTACTTGTTTAACCACTGTACTACCTCCAAACACGTCAACCAATAGACAAAATCGTTACCGTTTATTTTTTACCAAATTCACAACTTTTAATACCTCACATACCTAGTGATCCAGTTTATTCAAGCATAGAACAGAACAAAGGCATTCGAATTATCTACACAAGTGAATAACTCTTATACACAATTCTATTGCTTAACTTACCTTTGTTCTATTGTATGCTCTGATAAACTAGAACAATAGTAACTGGGTATGTGGGTTATCCAAACTTGTGAATGGGGGCCAACGATATAAACAGCCGATTTTGTCTATTAACATCCATGAACTAATTAAGAACATATCATTCCTTTTTGTAATCAATCAATCAATCAATATATACCTGAACATCTTTGAGCGGCTCAATCAACTCGGGTTTCTCCACTGCTTCCTCCACGAGAAGTTCAGCCGATGACGTAGCTGTCCCAAGAGGATTCCGCGCCAAAACTTTGTACTCTGCCTCATCAGATGGTGATACTCCACGTATGATTAATATTTCACATCCATCTTTTGTGTCGAAACTGACCCCCTCTGCATCTTCTTCAATCAATGTATCATCCTTGTACCATTCGATTTCAGGTGTTGGCTTACCAAACACACGGCTTTGGAATTTCGCTGTCTGACCTTCTTTCACCTCAACTGGCATTAGTCTTTGAATGATTTCTGGAGATATGCCTTCTTGAGCAAGACCTGTAAGGAGAATATTCTCGATAAACTAACTTTATTTGACGACTCTCTCAGTTTTAAACTGCTCTATTTAGAAATCGAGTTATTCTCTGCTGATTCAGTGTTACTGCAAAATCTAAATAAACTTTTTATTTATACAGTTCTAAACTGTTTTCTTTAGAGGTCGAATAAGAATCGTCCCTTATTGATCCAGTGTTGTCCAATAACAAGTTTTTACCTTCAATGTTAACTTGAAATTTCCTGGTGACTTTTCCCAACTTGGAGGATGCTTCACATTTGTAGACACCACGATCATCTCGAGCTACGTTACGAATGCACAAAGAATGTTCAAGACCATCATCCGTGATATCATAGTGGATATTATTTCTCAAAGGTTTGTCATCTACAAACCACTTTACATCTGGCAAAGGATTTCCTTTCAAAGTCACGTCTAGTCTCAAATCGTCGCCCTTTTTGACAAAGTACGGTTCGTCCTGACCTTCGTTTGTGAACTCAGGTGGGTATTCCTTGTCAAGGACGACTACCTTCGCAATTGATTCGGACTTGCCCGCTTCGTTCACGGCTACACATCGGTATTCGCCTTCGTCTTCGGGTAAAACATCTTCAATGGCTAGAGTGAAGATTTGATCTTCATCCTGGTCAACAATGACGTAACGACCTTCATCGAGCAATAGCTTGTCACCTTTGTACCAGCTTACTTCCGGTTCTCCCTCGACCTTCACTGTAAATTGAACATCTTCTCCTAAAAAAATAAAGGACAAATTACGGAACAACAGATGATCGTCAATTTCAGTTTAATGACTTTCTCAATCATTGGTGAGCGGCTTTCCCGAAAGGCTATTGCCCAATTGATAGGGGATCCAAGGTACCTACGATTTAAACGTCCTTATTCGAGAAGACGCGAAAGTCTAACCATTTACTGATGTCAATGTAAAGGTAGCACTTTCTCCTCATTTTAAAGGACATTGGCAATAGAAAATTAGTTTAGTTCATTTGAAATAACTCATAAAACTACATATTAAACTTTATTACAGATTGTTTATATCTTGCTTAGTTTTCAAAATATTTCGACTGAAAAAAGTGAGTTGTTCGCCATCTTGGATTATTGAGGATATGCATGTTACGTCAAGAGAGGGGTCACGCTAATTTTTTATCTTGAGAGTAAGCGATCAATATGGGTCCAAAACTTCGTTTCTGGTTGCTGTCTGAAATTTAGAAGTGATTAAAAACATTTCAAACAATTTTGGAATGTTACTCGGTCATTTTAGAGTAGTTTTATATGGTTAACCCAACTCTTGAAGTCATCAAAACCATAGTTAATGAGGTCAAGAATTAGTCCAAGATGGCGGATAGCTGATTAATTTCGGTCTAAAAATTTCGAGAACTAAGCAAGACATGACAAATCGGCGATAGAGTTTAATACATAATTTTAAGAGTTCTTTTGAATGAGACAAACTAATTTTTTATTGCCAATGTCCTTTAAGACCTTGAGTAGAGATCCGACCAATTAAGGATTGAACCCAGGTCTCCGAGCTTAAAAGGTAAGCGCGGTTGAAGCAAATAGACTAAACCACATCTCTCCATTTTAGTTATTTGCCTCCAAATACAAGACTACTACATATAATGAAAAGAAAACATTATTTTTTCATCTGATAACTGCTGTTTGACTACCATCTGCTGCACAATAGTGCTTAGTGAAACCCATGAATAAATTGGACTATTTCATACCTTCATCAATCGTTACATTGTTTCCCAGCCATTTAAGTGGGCAAGTCAGAAAACATTGTTTCCCAGGCCATGTTTTCTGAAGGTGGGCAGGAAACATTGTTTCCTAGCCATTTTCCCCAAAGTGGGCAAGTTAGGAAACATTTCTTGACTAATAAATTTGGTCATTTCATACCTTCATCAATCGCAACATTGTTCGCTAGCCATTTTTCCTTAAAGTGGGCAAGTCAGGAAACATTGTTTCCCAGGCCATGTTTTCTGAAGGTGGGCAGGAAACATTGTTTCCTAGCCATTTTTTCCCAAAGTGGGCAAGTTAGGAAACATTTCTTGAGTAATAAATTTGGTCATTTCATACCTTCATCAATCGTTACATCTTCCAATCCAGTCACAAACGTTGGCACTTCAACAACAATCAACTCAGCTTCAACAGCGATCGCTCCTTTTTCATTCGAAATACGACATCGATACCAACCCTCGTCATCTGCCTCGGTCTTCTTGATCACGAGACTTGTCGCGTCGTCACTCACTGTGCACGTGACTCGGTCACTTTCCTCAAGAGGTCCGCCGTCTTTAAACCATTCTGCGTCCGGTTGAGGTGAACCTGAGAACTTGCATTCCAGTTTTAGTTCAGAGCCAGCCACCACCTCACAATCTTGGAACTCGCTCAGAAATTGTGGGGAGCCTGGTTCGGGTGGAGCATCTGAAGTGAAACGATACAGTTAGCACTAACCCACCTTTGAACAATAGGCCCCTGCAGTATAGAGTTTTCTGATCATATTTAAACCTCAGTTGCAGTGCTTCCATTTGACTCTACGAAACATGGTAGGCATGAAAGGGTTTTTTCGAATGCTGCGACTTTCTCCCGTAGTGACACTGGACGAAGAAGGGACGGCTGTTACAGGAGTTCTAGGAACTGGTAGACTTGTCCAGTATCAGTAATTTTAGTTTAATGATAGTAGTTGGCTATCAAATAGTAGTTGGTATTTTCAGAAGAAGTCAAATTCACGGTTGATATTCAAGTTACTTTCCTACCTTCAACAAGCAGCTGAATAGATTTTCCAACCATTTCTTCAGCGGGTTTGGACACAGGCAACTCCTCCGTAGGTCTCGCCTTTCTTTGTGATGTTGGTTCTTTCTTTGCAATTTCTGAAGGCTCTCCTTCCACTATCAATGTTGCAGTACATGTTGTGGTACCAGCTTTATTGGTTGCAACGCATTTATACACTCCCGAGTCTTGTCCACTCGCTTCTTCTAAAGCTAAAGTGAACGTCTCGCCATCTTCTTCATCAACAATCACAACATGGCCGGCATCTTCTAACAGTTCATCTCCTTTGTACCAGTCTACTTTTACATCTCCTTTCACACGGACATGGAAACATCCATCTTCACCTGCCTGGATCTAAAAATAGGAGGAGTAATATAGTCCTGGGCAATCTAGGAAACATTTTACAAAAACATTGTTTACTAGCGATGTATCCCGACACATTGTTCCCTATTCATGTTTTCCAGCAATTTGGCAAACAGAAAAATATTGTTTCCCAGCCATGTTTCTAGAAGGTGGGCAAACCAGGAAAACATTGTTCCCTAGCCATTTTTCTTTAAAGTGGGCAAGTCAGGAAACATTGTTTCCCAGCCATGTTTCCAGAAGGTAGGAAAACCAGGAAACATTGTTTCCTGGCCATGTGTCCAGAAAGTGGGCAAACCAGGAAACATTGTTTCCTAGCTTAGAGTGGGCAAGTCAGGAAACATTTCTTGCTAGCCATGTTTCCAGAAAGTGGGCAAAACAATGTCCCCAAATTTACCCAGAGCTCTATGTATCGTACTCAATAAGTTGATTTATGAATAGTTTCATAAAACATTCCCCTTTGGTAATTTAATCAACTACCCTTACTTTGACATCTTTCAATGGCTCTATCAATTCTGGCTTAACAACAGGCTCTGCGACAATCAGTTCTGCAGCAGATGTAGTAATTCCAACAGGATTTCTTGCTAGAACTTTGTACTCGGCTTCATCTCCTGGGGAAACATTACTTATACACAAGAAACTGTCACCATTTTTCGTTTCAAATTTAACCCGGTCGTTCTCTTCCAATAGTTGGCCATCTTTATACCACTCAATTTCAGGTTTCGGTTCGCCTTCGACATGGCAATGGAACCTCGCTTCTGGTGTTCCTTCTTTCGCCTCAACAGGTTCGATGCCTTGCCTGAATGTCGGTGCAGTACCTTGTGGGGTAAACCCTAGCAAAGCGAAAAGACTATTCAACACACGAGATAATTTCATAGTTACCTTTAAAAATAACGGGATTACGCATACAAACTAACGAGAAGTAACACAGTGATTTGCGCATGTGTATTTCACATTGCTAACCGGGGTTGATTCTTGCACTATTCTTACTGGACCTCTAGGGAGAGCAGTTATGGACTAATAGAGCTATCTACTATAAGAAGTTATAATTTAGTTTAGAGATAAACTACCGTGTTTTTTGACAAGTTCTTATGCAGTATAAGTTACACACCATCTCACCTTGTAGATTTACTTGAAACTTTCGTGCAACTTTCCCAAGTTTTGAAGTAGCCTCGCATTTATATAAACCTTTGTCGTCCAAAGTAACAGAGCGTATACACAGTGAATGTTCGTTGCCGTCCTCGCTGATATCATAGTGAATATTATTGCGCAAAGGTTTATCATCCAGAAACCATTTCACCTCCGGAGAGGGATTTCCTTTCAACGTGACATCCAGCCTCAAATCATCTCCTTTGTTAGCAATGTACGGTTCATCCTGACCTTCGCTCGTGAACTCAGGTAGATATTCATTGTCCTTGACAATCAACGTCGCTGTAGATTCGGATTTCCCCGCCTCGTTTCCGGCAACACATCGGTATTCGCCTTCGTCTTCGGGTAAAACATCTTCAATGGCTAGAGTGAAGATTTGATCTTCATCTTGATCAACAATGACGTAACGACCTTCATCAGCCAATAGCTTGTCACCTTTGTACCAGCTTACTTCCGGTTCTCCCTCGATCTTCACTGTAAATTGAACATCTTCTCCTGATAAATGAAAGTTTGCATGGTTAGAAGTAAAACATGCTCTTGAATCTAAGCTACTCGATAGGCCGGTTTACATTATCAAAGTTTCTGTGATCACAGTAGGAATTTTGCATAGATAAATTCTAAGTTTTGAAGGATTTGTAAGAACTTAGAACAAAACTTAGAATTTACTAATGTTTGATTCCTACTGTGATCACAGAAACTTCGATAGTGTAAACCAGCTCTAAAATTAGGCGAATTTATTAGGTCATACCGAGGTATGTGTGATATTATCAATCGTAATCTACTTAACACAATACCGTAAATCTCCGACTATAAGCCCTGGGCTTATATTCTTTCGTAAGCGATTTTTGATGGGCTTATACAAAGGGG